AGTTATATATTCTGTTTGATGTTGTAAATGCAGTTTCGGTTTTCCATAATCATGCTTTTGTGAGCGTCAAAATTTACATATTTTGCGAACCACAAGCAAACTGCTGCTGGGATTTGGATGACTTTTTTCTTCAGAAGGATGTTCAATTATATACAGTTCAAAACGTAACATTACTTGAGAGATTTTAAATGTTGACTGCGGTTGAACACAACAAGGTTTTGCAGTTTCTAGTGTCTCAATGGGATACTTCTCGAATATATTGAATATCAATACTATTATATTGATGAATGCGACTGCAGTAGAATCACGCAAGTAAAAAAACTTGAAACAAATAATTTATTGACCATTGCACATTTTAGAGATGGCCTCTGCCAATTAGTAACGGCGATATCCAGTAGCCTGGACGTTCTGGGCAGCGTTACGCTGAGGGCAAGGACAGTATTCAGCGTCCTTTCCTGGTTCTCCTTCCTCTCCTGGCTCTCCTGGAGTTCCGGGAGCACCATCATCTCCCTAAAAGCATATACATAATACCTGCTCTACTGCAGTGGTGCTCGACTTACCTTCTCTCCCTGAGGTCCGCGCTCTCCTGGAGGACCAGCCTGTCCTGGAGCTCCAGTGTCTCCTCGCTGTCCCTGGTCTCCAGGCTCTCCTGGGGCTCCGGGCACTCCCTTGGGTCCAGGAAGACCAATTTGATGTTCCACATCCTCACCTGGCTCTCCTTGTGGTCCTTCTTCTCCAGCTGGTCCAGGAGCTCCAAGACCTCCGATGGTTCCAGGGAATCCAGGCTGTCCGTCACGACCTGGCATAGCAGCCTGTCCGCGAGCTCCACGCATTCCACGAGGTCCAGGCTTGCCGGTTGGTCCTGCGTGCAGAAAATTGGATACTTGTTGTGGTGAAGTAATAAAACGTTAATTTTCTTACCAGGAGGACCAGGAGGTCCCTGAGGGCAAGTGAAGCATCCAGCATACTGTTGTGTTTGTGCCTTAGCATCTTCAGCATCTTTTCCGTCAAGTCCAGGAATTCCAGGGATTCCGTCAGGTCCATCATGTCCGGGAACTCCTTTAGGTCCTGGTGGTCCGGCTGGGCACGTGTTATCAGCATTACAGTTGCAGTTACCATTGGGCTGAGCTAAACGTGAACAAATTATTAACAGTTCAAGTAAAATATGTAAACGAGAGATGAAGCAAAAATATATTCCTTACCTGATGGAGCACCATCGTGTCCGGGGAAGTTGTTGTTATTGTTGTTGTTGTTGTTGAAAGAGGGAGGAACTCCAACAACGCCAGGAAGGTTTCCGTTACCACCAGTTGGATGAGGAGGACCTCCAGCATCACCAGGGTAAGGTTGGTCGCCGAAACCACCTCCAGGGAAGCCTCCGTTAGGTCCCTAAACATATAGTTTTCTAATTTTCATCTAAATATTTTCCAATTTTTGTGTTTACGAACTTTGGGTCCGTGTCCTCCTGGGAAGCTGCTGCGCGGAGGAGGAGCACCATATCCATAAGCCTGACGACGGACTCTGCCGTACTTGTTCATGTCTCTCCAGAGGGTATCGCTCTCAATCTTCCATGCCTCAATTTCAGCGTCAAGCTCAGCGCGGATGTCGCTGATTTCGCTGAGGATCATGGGGAAGGAGAGGAAACAAGCGGCGAGGGCAAAGCATCCCAGGCCAGTGGCAACAATTGCCACTGTACGTGAAGACATCTGGAAAAAAAGTGAATAGCACAGCATATTCATTCTGTTAAGAACAATGTGAAGAGATGGCTAGGAATGGCGTGCACAGACGAGAATGGACATACAATGGCCATCATCAGATCTGCGGATCACTTATATAGGAGTTCTCACCCAGGTTATCGTGATGATGGCCTAGATCCGTAATGCCATGGGTGATGAACCAGATCCGAAGCAGATAACGGAGGAGAGATATGCAAATGCGCGCAAACGGAAAATATTCTTCTCTAATTGTATAGTCCTATCACAGACGATAAGTGGATGGTAAGGAATTTTGTCAGCCTTGAGAAATGAAGATTAATTGCTGCTGCCTCGTAAAATTATAAGCTAAATTGAGCATGCATTGTACCATGCAAGTCGTGCAGGCTGCAGAGCAGG